TCAAATTTCTCACTTACATTGCGTGAGAAAATACTAGAAAAATCGATGAATAACCAGCGCCCCTCAAATCACAATTCGAAAAAAAATCCCATTGACATTTAAAACGTTTGAACAAAAAAGTTAATATTCAAAAGCTCTAATTTCTCTATTATTTCACGAATTTCCATACCTTTCCATTAATTACTTTTTAACAATGAATTATCCCAAAGTGTCGGCAAAATTGAATTAAAATTATTACAAAATAAAAATACTAGTAATAATTAATTCAAAGATTACAAAAGTAGTCGGGACTCCCCAAATAATTTCCAGTAAAAATTGGAGATTGGAGAAATTTACAGTTTGCAGCATCAGCAGGAATAAATCAGAATAATATTCCACGGGTCCACGGATAGACCCTCAGCGTTACTGCACGGAGGGCAACGAATAGTGGTAGTACTCGACGTCAGTACCAAGGACCAACCGCATACACATACCGCGCAGCCTCTCCCGGGCGATGCATTATTAGTCCGAGAGAACGTACTCGGTATTAAAAATCATGCAACTCACCGACTCGCCAGCTCAGTCCGATGTTGAGTCGAATCACCACGTCAACGAATCTTCTCTATTCTCTCCCCTTCCTTTCACATCTCAGTTTACCTTTTTGCCTTTCTGCTCCAACCCTCTGACCATTCTAATGCAGAACCGCCAGCCGACATGCCCCTCGCTTTGTCCATCGACAATAGTAAAGAAATGAAGAAATTGAAAAGAAACAAAAAAGGGGGCAACATGGTGCCTCATATCGTTGGCCCAGTTTTTCCCACGTATTCAAATGTTCGACATTCTGCTTTATTTAATGAACATTAAGTTTTTGTGAGAGGAGAGTTCAATGATAAGGAATAGCCAATTTTTTAGATTCTTAAAGGCTCTTATGAAATTTGTTTTTAGTTGATAATTCATCTACTAAAGGATTTCACAATTAAAATGAAGATAGAAGACACGGCGAAGAAATATTCTGATTAGCAGATAGTCGAGGAAAAATTTGAATTTTTTATCAAGCGACAGTTATACTGGAAATTTACGGGATTTTGTTTGATTCAAAATTCAGAATTCAGTGAGAAAAACAATAAAAACTGTTATTTCGAGTGCAACTATTCAACGAAAGATTATAGAAATCAAGAAGATTCGAGTGAATATACTCCTGAAGTGTCAACTGATAGGACAAAAACAAAATATTTAATTTTTTTACGGATTTTTATGAAATTTATTTTTAAATTGATAATTTACCTAGTAGAGGATCTCGTAAATTTTAAGATTAAGATGGAAGATAATGCGAATAATATTCTGATTGGTCCAATGGTCGAGGAAAATTTGGAATTTTTTGTCAAGCGACAGTTATACTGGAAATTTACGGGATTTTGTTTGATTCAAAATTCAGAATTCAGTGAGAAAAACAATAAAAAATGTTATTTCGAGTGCAACTATTCAACGAAAAATTATAGAAATCAAGAAGATTCGAGTGAATATACTCCTGAAGTGTCAAATGATAGGACAAAACCAAAATATTTCATTTTTTTACGGATTTTTAGGGAGTTTATTTTTAAATTGATAATTTACCTAGTAGAGGATTTCGTAATTTTTAAGATTAAGATGGAAGATAATGCGAATAATATTCTGATTGGTCCAATGGTCGAGGAAAATTTGGAATTTTTTGTCAAGCGACAGTTATACTGGAAATTTACGGGATTTTGTTTGATTCAAAATTCAGAATTCAGTGAGAAAAACAATAAAAACTGTTATTTCGAGTGCAACTATTCAACGAAAAATTATAGAAATCAAGAAGATTCGAGTGGCTATACTCCTGAAGTGTCAAATGATAGGACAAAACCAAAATATTTAATTTTTTTACGGATTTTTATGGAGTTTATTTTTAAATTGATAATTTACCTAGTAGAGGATTTCATAACTAAAATTAAGGTGGAAGATAAAGCGAATAAATAAATAAATATTCTGAATAGTTCAATAGTCCAGGAAAAATTGGAATTTTTGGTCAAACGACAGTTATACTGAAATTTCAAAGGATTTTCTCATTCAAAATTCACACTTTGATTAAAAAATCGATATAAATATATATCGATAAAAATTCCCTCAATCAGTTGAAAAAACTAGAAATTTGTTGAGCGCTTGCGGCGAATATTCTGTATTTCCGGGATTAAATTTTGAACTTAAATTAAATTAAAAAAACCTCCCGAGCCTAGATCACAACAAAAACAGAAATATCCGTGAAAATTGTCATTGCAACTCAGCTGAGATTTCATCTCAAGCGCGACCTTGAAGCCAAGCCTGACCTTGACCGTGTCACTCCCTACCCCGCGCACCTTTTTCGAGCCCCTCTCCCAGTGAGCGTCATATTACGTACACGACTGCGATGTTGCTTGGCGCTGCTGCGGGCATCGCTGCATCGACCGGCCCGCAGATTCGTCCCGTCCGTCCATCCCCCCACTCTTCCCAATCACCCTTTCACCCTCTCGCCATTCTTCATGGCCATAATACTGCTATGTACACGGATGGAAAGACTGTATTTGAGCCAGAACTACTAATGCCCATCCAACTTCGTTTGAGATATATCCAGACGAAATCCGTTCTGGGTTACGTCTATGAGGAAATGTCCAAGAATATTCTGTTTGAGCAATGCAGGGAGTATTTTCGATTTCGCATGAATATTCTTGCGGAGCATCGAGACAGAGGAATGATAACGGCGATGGTCGAGGAAATTCAAGTACTTTGACTATTTTCGTTGCCAATGGAAGCTTTGTAATCGTTCCAATTCAAGTTTTGAATTTTCTGCGTTATCAACCCATTCGTTATGTTCACTAATGAATCGATAGACTTCAATCGTTTTTCTTTAATGTAGATATTGTCCTCAATTAACATTAATTAACATTCAATTCATAGGGGAGGTCGGGGTAAAACGGACACTTTTGACTTTTTTTATAAACGTTGATGACGTGTTGAAATGCTGATAAAATTCAATCTTTTTTTTTTCAATGCGAAGAACATTTCTTTCCCTTTGTGATCAGCCTAAACTGAGCTCAACTGATCAATTTTTTTCTGAGTTATGAATAATTTTGAAAAAAGTCCAAAGAGTCCATTTTACCCCATTCTCCCCTATATTAATTTTGAGAATTTTCGATTTGTTTCAAAAATTGGCCGTCCCACGATAACTCAACAAAAAGGTCCGGAATTCATTGAATGATGGCTTAAAAAATTATTTCTAGGGTAAACAGGTCAATTTCTAGACGATTTCAAGTTACATTATATATTCCATGATTCCACAAATAAAATGAAAATTGTACTGATTACTTCACTTTTCAATAATACTTTCACTTTCAATATTACTCGTGAGTCAATTATTTTTTCCATTAATCGACATTTGATAAATGAAAAAAAAATACGGCCCAGTCTTCCAGAAATTAAGGGATTTGGCTGCATTCAACTATTTCTTAATTTAATTATTCTTTGTTTTGTGACTTTCACTTCAAATAATTTTTTTCTGGTAATTAAAACATTCTTAAAGATATGGAAGCCATCACATCCCCATTTAGGTGATTTTTTTATTTTAGATTCTACCACGAAACTCAAATTTCTCTAAACCGTCCAGCAATTGGCGTGATTACCCCACGTTCCTTTTTTCATTTTGATTATTGGGTAGTGGAGGGGCTTGAGAGATCGTTCGATTTATAATCTGTCGAGGATTGTTGATATTTTTAATTCTACAAAATGTCACGCGAGAAAAAATTTCACTGAAAAACCTAAATAATTCAACAAAAAATTCCAATGGATTTCTCCTCAGAATTTTTCCCATCTAAATTTCTCGCGACATTATCCTTGCTCTCCCCCTCATTCTAATCCAAAAAACGTGTAGTTTACCGCAAATGTTTACCCACAAAACTCCCATATTCATAATTCCCGCCATCACAGCAACGAGAACCCACAACAGTCGTGGAATGACGGTTTGTTTGGTTACTTTCCCAGAACCGATTATAAATATTTCCGTCTCGAAGTGGCACTCAAAGTTGGCCCCTAAATTATTCAGTTCCAGGTGACAACTTCTCGATATTAGCATAAACGACACAAGACTGTCATACCATGTGCTTTTCGAAAACGCAACGAGTACGTTTGCCGGTGCGGGCAGCGTGCACCAGAGAGAATGCAATTACTCGGTCGCAATTCGTAATTTTATGACGTGATGAAGCTTAATCGCTAGAGGAGTTTATATCGAGCTTCAAAGACTCACCTCGATCGAATTTTTTGCCCTCAGGATCGATGTCTTTGACGTTGAAAATATCCTCGAACAGTACGCCCGCCATTTTAGCTTCGACTGGCGACACTAGCGAACCTACGGCGACCAGCAGAACATGCCAGCTGATTCGCGATTGGCGGGAAAGTTGAATTTTATTTTTTAAACGAAGAATTATGATCGCTGGGTTATTTGCACTTTTCTCATCGTCTCGGGCATTTTTTATTTTTATTTTTCAGGTGTGAAGGGGCTTGCGAGATCGTTTCATTTATCATCTGTCGATGATTGTTGATATTTTTAATTTTGCAAAATGTTATTAAAAAGTTGCAAAATGTTATTGAAAAGTCTGATTTTTATTGAAAATTCTATTCGTTTTTAAACGATTCTATGGAAGAATTCTGCACTGTGCATTTTTTTAAATGAAAAAGTCCAATAGAAACTATTTTATAGAAGAAGTCAGTAGGATATTTTCCATAGAAATTCCTGGAGATGAATTTTTCATGTTTTTTCACTACATTTTTTCCTCTTCAGATTAAATAAATCCAATAAAAAACCAGAAAATTGGAGTCGAGGAATTTTTGTATAAAATATCTCAATAGAATAAGTTGTATAGAAGACTCGAATTCTATCGATTAAAAAAAATCGTCAAATGAGCTGCGGAATTTTCAATAGGACGTTCTCTAGAAATCCAATTCATTTATCTATTCTTTTTTTCAGGGTATATTCACATATTAATTAAATTCACATATTAATCCCCATATTAATGAAATTCATTACGAAATGTTTGTACAATCGAATTTGATCCTGCAAGTGGGCTTTGCGCCTGTTGAAATAAGAAATGATCCAGAGAATAAGAAAAAATGTTGAATTTTGTTCTTCTCTCATTTTATTAATTTCATAATTTACTTTAATCTAGTTGCGAATTTCATTAGGAAAATTGGAAATAGGATTTTCTTGGTAAGAGAGTGATTTTCTAATAGAGGTTGAGTTTGGTTGTGATTATGACTCTGAGGCACTGGTCGAAGGCGGTGCAGACGGCGAGACCCTGTTTGTCTGGACACCAATCTAAGGAACTGACTGGCTGACTCGATATCGTACTGTGCTGCAGGAGGCTCACGTCACCCACCACTCCCTGCTCAATTCCATCTGCATCCACTTGTTTTCTTTTTTCAGGATAGTTACTGAAATAGATTCACACATTATGCAATAGTAGATGCGGGGGAATGGGGTTGTGGCACGAATTTTTCGGATTGACTTGAATGGAATGTAAACATGGAATGAAAATATTGAAAGCATTTTTTGCTTCTGAGATTATGAGTTGCGATTGTGTGGAGCTGGCTGATTTTCCATCACTTCTCAAAATAAAAGAATATAAGTCTGATATTTTTTAAAGCTGAGAATGAGAAGATTTTTTCTCAAGTTGAATTTTTTATCCTAATTTACGTTTCTCGATTCTGTGATACTTACTATTTCCAGAGACATAGAGAGCCACCTCCGCCGCAGGTCATGAAGATTTCACGGTTTTGGGGGAGATGTCTCACCAGCCAGACCGTTGATTTATGAGCCTGTAATGAAAAATTAATATTATTGATGATACATTGAAAAAAAGAAATAATTTGCTCTCCGGTGAGGACAGATCATCTGATCAAAAAATCTGATCTAATGTAGATAACGACGAACAATAAACATTTAAGGATATCCAAGTATTTTTGCCATTTTTTCTCCAATGCAATGCTTTTCTACTTTTGAAAAATTAATAATTAATTTTTTTTAATTACGAGCATTTTCTGTAAATAATTTATAAGTAATCATTTTCCACCAAAAAATGATTTGTTCGGAATCGTAACAAATTTATTCATATTCAGAATTTTACCAGAAATTGATTTTATTAAACAATTTCAATGATTTATTCATAAACAACTAGTGTTAAAAAAAAATCAGTGTAAAGTGTAATTTGAATGACGCTGAATATTCATGATTCCCAAATTTTTCTCACGTAATTTATTTAACAAATTTGATGATTGAATAATTTAAAAATTGCAATTTTTAAAAATGAACATTTTCTATAAATAATTTATAAGCAATCAATTTTCCATCATAACAATTATTTGTTCGGAATCGTAACAAATTTATTCATACTCATAATTTTACCAGAAATCGATTTCATTAATCAATTTCAATGACTTATGCATAAACAGCGAATGCTTAAAAAAATAATAATTGTGTGCAAAATGTAATTTGAATGAAGCTGAATATTCCCGATGATTTTCAAATTTTTAAATTAGATTGCACGAGAAAAATGTTCAATTGCCAATTGAATGTTTCAATTAAATTGCGCGAGAAAAATTTGATGATTGAAAATGGTTAAATCGGTAATGTGGCCTATACCAACCGTAAAATATACTATCATTTTTTCTCTCATTATGTCGATTTTTCTCTCATTATGTCGATTTTTCTCTCAGCGCGTATTACCTTCTCAGTTAAGTAAGCAAATCCCTTCTTCGGATGCTGCGTCCTGAGATCAAACAGATACAACTTGGACTCCAGCGTCGTAACCACGAGTTTATTCATAGGAATATCCTTTCGGTCGAACTCCAGACCGCACACCCCATTCTTGAGGTTGCTCTCCCACCTCAGGGACATCGCTTTGAGATCGAACATCTTGACGTCGCCGTTATCGTACCCCGCAGCAACAACGCGCTCCTCGGAGTTGTAAGAATTGCCGAAGGCAACTGTCCAGCAGTCGCGACGAGTCTCGCCCTCCTTGGGCTCCATAACAGCCACCGGTCGACCCTTCTGCCGGGGGTCCCAGACTTTGACGCTCCCATCTCGAGAGCCAGTGACAATCTCCGGGGCCCCACAGCCGACATTCTGCCCTCCCACCCCATCAATCGCGTTTATTATCTCACTGTGGGCATTTGCCGAGTAAATTGGGACGGATGGATCTTCTAAATTATAAATATTGAGTTTTCCCTTTGAAGGGATGGAAATTATTTTTAGTGTGGTCATTCGATTTTTAGGGAGATCATCTCCTGCGGGTATCCACTCAAAACAAATTTTATTTTTTATTTCTACCAATTCCATTGGTAGCAAGCTTCCGAACAGATCCGTAGAAATTTTATTTTAATTTTCATTTTGAATTTTTTTAAAATTTTATCTTAATTGTGATATATTTTCCATCTTCATAATGTAAAATATATCAGAATTTCCATTGGATTTTACATCACGCAGGAGTTCCTAAAAATTGTAATTGGACAATTAAAAAAAGTAGAAAAAAATCTGAACATTTTCAAAGAGCGTTTTTAAAAAAGATTAAGAAATAAGTGATAGGGAGGAAATAGTGAATGGGTAATTTATCGTGATAACTCACGATCTGACAGCCGTTGACTACTGTGACAAATGACGACCTATCAAATTATTAATTTGCAATTTCCTCCCTACTGGGTTTATTTCCCAATATTATTCAAAAACGGTCTTTGAAAATGTTCAGAATTTTTTCAACGTTTTTTTTATTGTACAATCATAATTTTTGGAGACGCCAGGGCTATGTAAACCTGAGTAGCAATTGGAGATCATTTCAGATTATCAAAATGAAGAAAACAACCGATATTACGCTCGAAAGATAATCCACCGGGGTCTTAATTGAAAAAAAAATATTTTTTCATGAAAAAATCTGATCCTCGAAACATTTGACCTTCTAAAATGGAGAATTAAATTTCGGTTTTATCCAGTGGGATAGGCACATCTACACGACCCCATCTTTGATGAATATTTCCATGTGAAAATCAATGATAGAACAACGATATGTCATTTTATGCGAAAAACGTTTTTTACATCAACTGCTCTAGGTGAGGTTGGAGTAAACCGGACACTTGACTTTTTCAAAAATGTTAACAAGGGGTTGAAATGTTGATGAAATTTAATATTTTTTGATAATTTTGATTCTGAGTTATGAATAATTTAAAAAAGTCTAAAGTGTCCATTTTACCCCACCCGCCCCTGTTTCAAAAAGTATTGAATCGATCAATCTGATATTTTACGCAGAAGTGCGACCCCATGATACTAATTAGTCCTCAATATCTTGGAACTTTAACAAACCACACCAATCATGAGCCAAAATTTCAGATTTTCATCCATCACTTTCGTCCCTTTTCTGTGAAAATTTATTTCAAAAAAATCCCAGAAAACAGACGTTTTTTAAAAGCATCATATTTCGACGTTTACGAAGATGAAATCAATTCCCAACTTATTTTTCAGTTTGAAGGCATTTTGTCAAGCTTCAAAACGAGCCTTGACGCATCCAAATCCTGTGATTTAGTGGAATATTTCAACGATTGAAGATATCAAATAGATAAATCATCCAATCGTAATGAAAACTCTTCTGACACATGAGGATTGTGATCACTTTTTGAGTGAATACACCTGTCAGAAGGATCTCACGCCACGCATGCAGGTTTTTTCAGGCTCCAAAACCAACCTTAAAATCACCAGTAGCTAAATATCTATCCCTGAGACTCGACGCCTTAAACGTCCCACACTTCATCGGATTGGAGCGTTCGATATCCTTAATTAGTTTTAATTCACCACTGGAGACCTCGTAAATCTGTATGATGCCAGTGCCGCGGGGCCTCGACCCCATAACCACAAATTTCGCACTGCACGGGATCCATTTAGCATCGAATAACGAATAATCCACCGATTTCTCGATGTGACTTATTATCTGGGGCTTTTCTAGACGATCCATTCTCCTGGATTACTCGAGATTACTCGAGATACTGACGATTGTTTGTTCAATGAAACATTTTCCAGGGGAATGTCGACCACCGGTTTCTTCGAGTTTGGAATAAACAAACGCTTATGACATCTTGTGGAGAATTCTCTGATTGTCGACACATTCCGTTTTGGACTAGAGATGGGCGATATTGACGGAAATATCGAAATCGCAACTATCTATCGAGGTTGGGGTAAAATAGACACTTTTGACTTTTTTAAAAATGTTAATGAAGGGTTGAATTGTCGATAAAATTTAATAATTTTTCTTCAACACAAAGAACAACTCGTTCCCTTTGTCACGAGCCTAAACTGAGCTCAATTGATGAATTTGTTTCTGAGTTATGAATAATTTAAAAAAAGTCTAATGTCCATTTTACACCACCCTCCCCTATAATTTGAAAATATCGGTTCGAAAATATCGATATTCTGAAAAAAATATCTTTGAACCGATATATTTTTCATCTGAAAAATTCACCAATGACAAGACGGGGAAACCAACTAGTGATCATGATGACCATGATGGGTCAGATGAGAGAAGAGGGGGTCCGATGAAATTTGAAATAAATAAAATCATGCGGTATTGAAAACAATATTTCTCTTTTTTCTTGGTAACATGTAATTTACTCTCTTCCGAAATTCTGGAAAATTAGAAACAAATTTAGACTTCGATATTGACAAAAAAATATCGAATAGCGATATATGAGTCGTCAAGAGTATCGGTAGAAAAATATCGGTAAATCGAAAATCGAAAATCCCCCTGACTCAAAATGCATCATATTCGTATTTATTTTCAAAACTTCTGTACAAAAATTGAAAAAATTATCGACATTCCTGCGATTAAATCGACAACAGTTTAATAGACAAAATCATAAACATTCCTAAAATTACTCCTCTGGCTCATCCTCCTCGATGGGTTCCGCTTCCTGCGGCGGCCTTTCTGGTTCAGCTTGTTCGCCATCACCTTGGGGAGCCTCAGGCAGTTCGAACTGCCTCCTGAACGCCTCGAGGGTCTTGAGGGCAGCCCTCTCGCTCGGATTAACCATCTCTATTACTTTGTCAACAGCCTCCCTCATTCGATTCTTCATCTCATCATCTTCACATCGAATTATCAACTGCTTCAGCGATTTCAGGAGGGTCTTGACATCGATTTCCGAATCCTCCTCAGCTATTTCTTTCAGGATATCTAGTGCTAATTGATTGTGGGCTGTGTAATTCTCCTTGCCTGAATGATTCGAATGAATAAGAAAGTGCATAAAAAATGTTTGAGGATTCAAATAAAAGAATAAATAAACAAATAAGTAAAAATAAATAAATAGATGAATTCAAATGAAAGAGGATCAACTAATTTAAATTAACTTTCTTGAGTCATCAGTGTTTTGTGATTGAATGATGCAATTGAGATAAATCAAATCTCATTTTAAAATCTAAAAAAATGAATAAATAAAAAAAAATGAATAAAAAATCTATAAAAAAATCTTTCAACTTAAAAAAAAAATTTTTTATTTCATTTCAGTGTTTGTTTAATTTCATGGATTTTAATAGATTGATGAATCATTTTTTATCTACCTGGTTTATGAAGACTACTGCTAGTCAAATCGATAATAAACTTAGCAATATTGTAAGGGTCGATGTCACTGCTGTTGTACGGATTCTCGGCAAGCTTCTTGAGAGTGGGAATGAAGGCCTGCTGGAGGCAGGTGCAACCGTCTGGAGTGAAACTGGGGTAATATCTGAAAAAGTTGACGAGGGACCCACGCAACTCCACGTCCTTTATAGAGACTGGGTCGTACAGACGGATGATCAGAGTGGACAGGAGAGCGTTGCTCTTCAGTTTTCCATGCAGCAGGAGCTTGCAGAACCCAGTGACAGCAGCTGTACGAATGTCCTTATCCAAGTGGTCAATCAGATCGAGCAGAATTTTAATCAAATTGTGTCTGTTGTCCCCAGTCTCTGTCTCCAGGGTCAATGTTGTGTCGTCAGCGCTGCTGTACAACCTGGGTAACATGACAAATGAACACATTAATATATTGACATTAGCAGAAATTTCCTTCTCATAATTGAGGAATTGAAATTAATTTCAGGGAAAATTCTGCATTTTCACAAATTTGTTGAGATTACGAAAAAAAAAATATTGTTAGGGTGGAAATTTTTCATGAGTAATTGAATAATTGATGGCGATTTCAGGTGAAATTTTGAATATTGACGAATTTGTGGAGATTTCATTGAGATTGTGGACTTTTTATTTTTTTTATTATTTTAAAAAGGTTTCCTAAAAGTTCGAATGGGGAATGAAGAATGAAGTTCAAATTAAATACCCTGAATTTTCCTAATTCCAATCAACTTTCATGGAATAATTTAACTGAAATTCACAATTTGCGTTGATTTTTCCATCAAATTGTGAATTTTCACTGATAAAATTTCTTGCATTTTCAGCGAAAATATCATTTTCGTTATATTGATGGAATAATTAGAAAATCCTGAATCCTGAAAATCATCTGAAGGATATTATCGAGTATTAAAGTACCGAAATGATATAAAACCCGAATTATTACATATTAATTTCAGTTTTCCCTGTGGTAAATTGGCATGTAATTACCTCGTGCCATGACGCTTGCTGTTCTCCGGATTCTGCCTGCTATTGTCTATAGTCCTGTCAGTGCTGATGATCTCCTGGAAATGATCGAGACCATATCGCAAGAACATATCGAAGATCACTGCGAGACAGATCTGCCACAGGTCCTGGTTCTCCTGGTCTGAGGTCATCGCCACCAGGTACATCATCAGGTGCTTCTTGGCGAGCTCTCCATCGAGGAAGAGGCAGACACCCACTGCCTTCAGGGCCTGGGCTTGGACAGCACCATCCTCGTGGTCGATACTGGGGAGCGCCAAGTTGTCGAACAGACTTCTCAGGGTTGATGTCAGAGTTGTTACCGATGAGGCTTGAGCCATTGTGAACATGATCCTCAGACACTTCAACATCGTTTCAGAGTCATTCTTGGCTTCTTCCTGGGTCTGGGGGACGATCAATGTTCGGGACTTTGATAGTTCCTCTATTTCTTTTTTCAATATCTCCATTTCTTTCTCGATCTCTGCTGCTGCTGTGAATTTCTTCGCTCGCACCAGGAGATCTTGATCGTTTTGTCTTTGGAGGAGAGTATTTTTCAATTTTTGACACTGGGAAAAAGAAAAAAATATTTTAATAAACAATTTAATAAGGTCGATGCATAAATGTTGCAGAATTCTCTAGAAAAATTATAAAATGTTGAAGAAAAAAAGTGGAAAAATTACAGCTTTTTTTTATCTCTAGAAAATTCTTTGTTTTTCTAAAAAGCAAAAAAAATCAGCATAGAAAATTTAAGGTATTCTTATTGTTTCAAGGAAATTCAGGTAAAATCTGAAATAATCCTATTTTATTTTTAAAATTTCCAGAGCTTTCTAATTTTTCCTAAAAAAAATCAACATTAAAAAAAAAAATTTTTAATCTCAAACACGAGGAATATCTCCGAATCTAAGGGACCTACTGAATTTTTCATGAAAACCTTTTTTGTAGCCCTCAGTACGCTCTACAAAAAAGGTTATAACAAAAATTTCCCTATCACGCTTGTATTCCGAGATAATCATCAAAAACTGCATCATAAAAAAAAGTGGAGCAAAACCCTTGCAAAATTACCTGTATCAGCCTCTCGCTGACCTCCTCATCAGTCACCTGTTCGACAACATTCTCAGCGACCTGCGTAGGCACCCTGATCTCGCTGATGGCATGAGCCAAAGAAGTCAGCCGACTGGGCACATCAGGCACCACCTTCTCATAATACTTGACAACACTCTCAATGATCTCAGTCGTGCAGATTTCGCTCATGAGAGTGTCCTCAATCAACTGCCTGAGGTTCCCCCTGCCCACCTCGTCCCCCAGATCGTAAGTCTTGGCGATCTCAAACACCTGCAGAAGCCCAAACTTCTGGGACATCTTCTGGGTCTTCACGTCCTTGTCCTCGTCGCTCTGTCCCTTCGCAAATTCAATCATCATGCTCTGAAAGTCCCTGATGTAGCGACAGAAGTTCGTCAGCTCTGGGATTGTGTCCTGCAGTCGTTCACTCGCAGCTTCGTCCCCAGACTTCTTGTGGAGATGCTGGATGAAGCACCTCCAGAAGAAAACGTTCTCCCCAGTGAGATCGTCAATTGGAATTAATTTGGCGTCTCTGTCCAGTGGCAGTTGCTTGAAGAGGGTGTCCAGGTTGGCCCTCTCGAAGAGAGTATTCAGCACGAGAGAGCCCAGTTCAGGCTCAATCTCAACGTCGAGACCGTACAGGAGCTTGCAGTAGTCCTTCTGGAAGCCGTCCAGCCACATTGGAAGAATCATGTCCCTCACGACCTTGCGGACACTCTCGGCGCTGTCGTTCAGGCCAGTTCGCAGGATCAACTGACGCTGCTTTATCGTCAGGGACTTGACTGTCACTTTGGAGAAGAATACGTGAGCTGATCTTCTCACGGAGTCATCGATGTCGCGGATCCTCTCTAGAACTGCCTGAAGGACTCTCTGGTTCTTCGCTGTGCACTGGATTACTGCCTTCCTCACCTAAGAATGCAAAGTGACGGTTATTTTTGACGTCAGTCAGTCGTGAATTTATGTTTTCTGGACATTTCTCACGTGACGCAGTCAACTTACCCAATCGTCAGTAATTTTTTCTCGTTGTCATTTATAAGTTCTGTTCGATCTGTTTTTTTCATTTTTTTAATTAATTTTGTCCAGAAACTTGAATAAAATTGTGAATAACGCCGAAACGGAAATCGAAAATTTAGTGATTACTTTAGTATGGAATTGCCAAAAAATCAGAAAAGTTTCGCAGAACTTTTATTAATTATTATCATAGAATCTGTAAAGTTCAATTATCTCTTTTAGGAGCTAGTTAAAGAACTCTGTCAATCATGAGGTGCCCAAAGGCATTTTATTACTAAATATTTGATTACTAAAATTTGAAGACGGTAACATGATGAATGTCGACAATGTGAAACCAGTTTGAAGGAGAAAAATCGCTTGGCTCTCTCTAGATATAAAATGATCGTCAAGATGTTTTTTTCGTTTTCGTGACACGAAATTCCGTCACTTTTTTTCTGACCACAAACGTTCGGTAATTGGCTTTCAGCCACTGACGTCTAATTTACGTATAAAATTCGAAGAACAATTTTCTCTGAGAAATACGTCCTCACTTATATCAAGAAACTCGTGGCTTGAAAATTTTCAGGAGCGAAATGTCTTGCGCTGAGAAAAAAAAATCTTTCGTCAAGAACTTTTGTATTAGTCCTAAAGACGAGGGCAATTTCTTGATAACAAGAAAGCACTTAATAACAAGAAGTAAAATTGAATTAATTCATTTAAAATTCTTTAGCTTCAATTCTAAAATATTTTAATGCAAAAGCCACGTGAATTGATGAATGTTCGAGCCATAAATCCTCACCTCAGCACTTCCATCCTTCGACATGTGGAAGATGTACATTTTAATTATGGGGCAGTCGTGGTTGTTGGGGTCCTGCATCCTGTGGATCGCGTAGATCGCCATCACACGGACCTTGGGGGATTTGTCGAGGAGGCGCTCAGTCATGGCCTCGCGAATGTCGTCGCAGGTCTGGTCGCTCAGGTAGGCGTCCTCGCTCATCGAGCTGAGGAGGAGATTTATGAAGTAGCAGCAACGGTATCTCACTGCTACGTCGACAGCGCTGTGGTGCTCCAGGCAGAACTCCAAGAGCTTCTGGAGGAGGGGGTTCAACTCGTCCTCCTCTTCGTCGTACTCTGCTGGACTCGTCTCGTCTCGGGCCTCCGGGACCGGCTGCAGCATCATTGCGAACTTTGCTGCGAAGTCCAGGATGTTCTCCACTGCGGGGTATTTCTCCAGGACGACAAAGGGGTACTTGAGGCAGCGGATGAACTCAGAGACGAAGTGGTCGAAGTCGGACTGGAATTTAATTTTCTTGTTTCCAGGGAATTTTTTTCGAGGCTTAAACTGGGAGTTGATTCAATAGGGGAGGTTGGGGTAAAATGGACACTTTTGACTTTTTTAAAAATATTAGTGACGGGTTGAAATGTTGATGAAATTTAATAATTTTTTTTTCAATACAAAGAACAATTTTTTCCCTTTGAAATGAGCCTAAACTGAGCTCTATTGTTACATTTGTTTCTGAGTTATGAATAATTTTTAAAAAGTCTAAAGTGTCCATTTTACCCTACCCTCCCCTACAACTGGACAATTGGGAGATACTAAATGAAGTTTTAACGTTTAAGGATATTTATTCTCATTCGTTTTCCTAATTCAAGGATAAATAGGTCTGGTTTAATTTTTTTGGTGGCGGGAGAATCGTCAGATATAAAGACTGAAGTTGGACTACAATTTAGGATTATTTATTTAACATAAGTTGTTGATTTGCTGGTGATACAAGTAGTTGAGGAGGAAAATGTTTTTTTTCTTATTTGAAAGATATTTTTTAGGATTTAAAATGGAGCTTGATTTATTAAAATTGGGCAATTTGGAGACACTCAATAAACTTTTCGTGCTTAAGAAGGATTATTCTTGTTCATGTTTTCCTGATTCAAGAATAAATAGTTCTGATTTAATTTTTTTGGTAGCAGTAGAATCATCACTCACCGACTCGTAAACTTCTTTCAATTTTTTCATCTGTTTACGATGACCTGCCTTCTTCTGCTGGGCCTCGTTGAAGATATCAGTTATAACCTCCCGAAGATTCCGTGGATTCCTGGCCATTTTTGTAAAATTTTCTACGTCTATCACTGCATCAACGGCTTCAATCCACCCTCGACGTTTATTCAAATAAAAATATCGCTTTTGGGACCATGCTTTGCATATTTAGAGGATTAAAAAACGGAGGAGACACAACAACAACCGATGCCGCCAAAAATCCGTTATATGAATACAACAGATCGGATTCAAATGAATAATTTCGGAGTGAAAGCAGCCGCCAGGGGTGCTGTCGAGATCCGATCAATTAGCCCCTCATGTATAGATATTCCAAATTTTTATTTTTTTCCTCATTGAAGTAGTTTTGAAGAAAATTGCGAGCTAATAAAAAACATTTGCTAGTTAGTACTTTTTTTAAAATAAATTTTTGAAAAATCACCTCTGAAAAAAAAGGCGTTATCCCCTCGATTTCATTATTTCCAAAAAATTTTGTCACCAATCGATAGCAAATTGTTTGAAGGTTTTTGCGAGTTGAGCAAAAATCGTCAATGCAATCCTATTATTGTGTAAATTAACAATTCCAATTTCAACTGAAAACCAGAGTTGATGACCAGAATTTGTAGCTTCAAAACTCTCTCAATGAGGAAAAAAATAAAAATTTGGAATATCTATACACGAGGGACTAATTGATCGGATGTTGCTGTCGTCGCTGCCGGCTCTCCATGTTAACTAGGTTAAACTAGTTTCCCATGTAAAAACAGTGAAGACTCCAATTAAAAACATAGAAATTAATTTACAAAAATTGGACGAAATAAGTGCAATTTAAACATCTGGATGAAAATAATGTCAATTGTTAAAACAGTGCGGCATATGCTCCAATACTATTGAGAACCACTGCGCTGAGCCTGACTCCCATTTTTTTTTAATTTTTCTGAGAAAATGGAGAAAAAATAAATAAATGTCAATTTTTCAAAGTTGACAGGAAATCCTACTAAAGTTGATCTAATATTTTGCATAATGAGTTCAACTGCCAGTGAAGCTCCATTAGAGGTAATGGATTATCAAAATCACGTGCATGTTCAATTTCATTGTTTATTAGACATTGTTGCTACGAGGTTATTTCAATATCAATTATCTATTTGAAAAATCTGTTGTAAGTTTAATTACAATCTGTGCATCTTTAGTTATTATTTTTTTAATTTAGTTGTAGAGAGAATGATGACAACAATTCTCACAATTTTTAACAATTGGGGTTTTGCATACAATTTTTTTATTTTACTGGGTTATAATAATTCGCACAGAAGTTCCTTCAATTGGTTTTAATTTATCGATTATTTGAAATACAAAAATACGTATGTAACATTTTTCTTTAAATTTCGTATTTCGTTATTTCACTCTTTAGTTTCCTAACAATTGGGGTTTCGCGTGGAATTTTTTTATTGCTGGATTCTAAAAATGTAATGAAAAATGTGAGACATGTATTTTTTCCTAAATAATGAGATATTAATGAGATTATTACACGAAAGTTTTTTTAATTGATATAAATTTATCGATTCCTTGAAATAAAAAAATACACATGTAACATTTTTCTGTCGATTTTCGCATTTTATGATCAATATAAAATTCCGCGTAGAAACCCAATCTAATCATAATTAGAGGTAGAAGTAATTTAAAAAAAATCATTTCTGCAACTCGATTAATTAATATGGATTAATCTCATCAATGAACCCCCTCAGCTGCCCTTCGGACCGCCCCCAATCCTCTCGGACATTCGAGACGAATTGAAGGAGTACATAGAGTGTCCAGAGAGACTGCCAATCCACCAGGTGGAGAATGTCCAGCTCTACTGGCCCCGCGAGCCCCAGATCCTGGCCCTCCTGGAATTCGACTTATCGCCTGTGGGAACAACCCTGAAGTTCGACAGAGATCCCATCACAGGTCGGATCTCCCAGATGCGAGAGGATGTTCTCCAAGGGGCTGGGGAGAATGCCAAGAATTCCATGTCCATGACCCGAGCGCCTGGCCCTCCCATGGAGGGTGTTCAAGGTAATTAAATTGAAAGATCCAATTCCGTTAATTAATTCCAATTGAACTAATCCCCAAATCCAATTCCATTAATGAATTCCCATTGAACTAATCTCGAAATGTCCTAGAAAAATCAAATATTCTGAGTGAATCTGTGAACATACGAAAAAATTTCACAGAAAACCTCTTGAATTCGCCTTATTTTAGATAGAAATGTTGAATGGAAAATATTCTATAGAAAAGTAAACAGAATTTGATTTTTTTATACAACTTATTGTATTCAGGTATTTTCTATAGAAATTCTTCGGTTCAAATTTTCTGTTTTTTGTTGAATTTTTTTAATGAAAAAAGCGGAAAAATAGACTGGAAAAAACTTGGAAAATTCATGTCGATGAATTCCTATCGAAAGTGTCTCAATGGTAGATGAAGATGAATTTTTTGATATTTTTCAAAACGTATAATAAATTACAAATTTAAAAATTACAAATGATTTCCAAATTTCTTAAATTATGAAGATGAAATTCCCCTCATTTTTTCAGTAAAATAACAATTTTGAGTAATTGCTAAATTTCTTAGAATATTAATAAACATTTAATTATGAAACAGCACCCTAGGTTTCTCAAGTAAATTCTTCCCTTCACAAAACTGACCAGTCGATCCGTCTCCCCCAGGCAATTCCAGCAACTTCCCCTTCTGGCCGGGTGGTTTCGAGGAGCCCGAGGCCCCTAGAAGCGCCCCAACAGCCAAGGACCTGGACTTCGAGAACAACCTGCGAACCCTGGCGCGAGGATTCCGCTCAAGTGTCGAGTTCGCCCCCGACAACTTCACGGTGAAGACCGCCAGCAAAGAGGACGACCCATCAGGCCAAAAGAAGAAGAAAAAGGGAAAAGACAACTCGAACAACTCAAAGCCCCTGGAGAAGGTGAACCTGATGGCGATGGTGCACGACGAGGAGAACCACCTGGGCCTGTGGTCCGAGCCCTCCCCAGAGGACCTGAACTCCACCAAAGACGTGATCGAGGACTCAGCCATCGAGAGCCTCGACGTCCTGAACTTCGACGAGTCCATTCCTGTGCTCAAGCTGACAGAGAAACCGAAGAGCATGGCGAGACAGGCGGAGTGGGCAGAGCAGCTCGACGTCTCAGTCCCAGTAGTAGACTTCGAGAAGAAGGTGCCAAAGCCAGCGATAACCTTTGACTACGAATTGGACACCTTCCAGAAGCAGGCGATAATAAAACTCGAGGAGGGCTGCAACGTCTTCGTGGCAGCCCACACATCCGCAGGGAAAACGACAGTCGCTGAGTACGCGATAGCCCTCTCCCAGCGTCACATGACGAGAGTAATCTACACATCACCAATAAAGGCCCTGTCCAACCAGAAGTACCGGGACTTCAAGCGAAACAGGCACTTCGAGAGTGTTGGACTGGTGACAGGTTGCAATGAATTTTACATTAATGAGAAATATTTAATGAATTAGACATGTCAAAATTGCGAGAAAATGAGAGAAAATAACCAAAATCAAAGCGCAGACAAGTAGAAAAATCATAGGATTGTCTGTCTATTATAAAAATCCAAATTGACTTCTGGTGATGGAAATTTGGTATTTAAAATTAAGATTCCAAAAGTGAAGGTCACAGGGGTCAGAATAAGGGTCTTGGGGGTCAAAAAAGGGTCACGAGGGTCAGAATAAGGATCGTGAGGGCAAAATGAGGGTCACAAGGGTCAGATTAAGGTGCACAAGGGTTACAAGTCTAAGGGTCAGATTAAGGGTCACCAGAATCAAAATAAGAGTCACAAGGGTTATGATGAGGGTCAGATTAAAGATCCAACAAAGGCTCACAATGGTCAGAATAATGATCAAGGGGTCACATGGGGGTTGGCTCCCTAGTTAAAGAATAACTGATTAAAAACCCATTCAAATAGTCCCAAGATCGACAAAAACAGACATAATTTCAATAAATCCAATAAATCGTAATCACATTCGTCGGATAATTCAGATTCCTCTCCTTTAAAAATTAATAATTTCCCTACAAGGTGACATGCAGATCAACCAGACAGCCAACTGTCTCATAATGACGACTGAGATCCTCCAGACAATGCTGTACAACGCCTCGGAAGTTCTTCGAGACCTGGAGTACGTGATCTTCGACGAGGTTCACTACATCAACGACGAGCACCGAGGGCACGTCTGGGAGGAGATCGTCATCCTCCTCCCCCCAAACGTCAACATCGTGATGCTGTCAGCAACAGTGCCAAACCCCCTGATCTTCGCCAACTGGGTGGGCAACATCAAGAAGAGGAGAATGTACGTGATAAGTACTTTGAAGCGTCCAGTTCCCCTGAAGCACTATCTCTACGCTGGGACTGATGGTAAGACCAGGAACGACAGGTTCCTGGTGCTCGATGGGGACGGACAGTTCAACCTCGACAACTGGTACAAGATCAAGACCCTGAAGGACGGCAAATCGAAGAATAAGAATGCACCGGTGAGGAACAACAACAGGAGACAGCAGCTGAATCCCAAGCAGGAGAAGACAATGTGGGAGGCCTTCATAGCTCATCTGAGGGAGCACGACAAGCTGCCAGTGGTGATATTCACATTGTCCAGGAACAGGTGTGACGCCAATGCTAATGCTCTTGTCTCGGTGAACCTCACCACTGAAACGGAGAAGGGGCACGTGAGGGCTTTCTTCAAGAAGTGCATCAAGAGGCTGAATGAGTCTGACCAGCAGCTGCCCCAGGTCAGGCGCATGGCTGGGCTCCTCGAGAGGGGGATTGGTGTTCATCACAGTGGGATCCTCCCCATCCTCAAGGAGATTATTGAACTGCTGTTTCAGAATGGAGTTGTTAAACTGCTGTTTGCCACTGAGACATTCGCCATGGGTATCAACATGCCAGCGAGAACAGTTGTCTTCGATTCTATTCGGAAATTCGATGGGAAGCAGTTTCGGGGGCTTCTGCCGACCGAGTACATTCAGATGGCTGGAAGGGCTGGACGGCGGGGTCACGATAAAGTGGGAACTGTCATTTTAATGTGCAAGACTGAAGTCCCAGCTGTTGTTGATCTCAAGGCGATGATGTGCGGGGAGCCCCAGCATCTTCAGTCTCAATTCAAGATCACTTACTCGATGGTTCTCAATCTGCGAAGGGTCAGCGAGTCTGTCAGCATCGAGGAGATGATGAGGAGGTCCTTCAAGGAGCTGTCATTCACTGCTGACAAGAACAAGCGGCTGACTGAACTCAACGAGATCGATGAGGCGCTCGCCAAACTGCCACAGGAGAACGATGTTCAGAAGCAATTGTCCAAGTTCTACAGGCTGGGGATGGAGTATGTGGAGGAGTGGAAGTACCTCTGTGCTCATTTATTCTCGACTAAGAAGGTCTCGAAGGCACTCATCCCTGGGAGAGTCCTCATTATCTCCCACAGGCATCATTACAGGCAGGGATATTCGTAAATCATAATTACCGCTGGATTTTGAATTTTTAATTATCAATTTAAATATTCACATTCCGAATTATTCTATTGATCAATCAGTTAGGTAGGAAGATTGACGATTATTTGGTTAAGCGAAAATCTCTTTTACGAAGTTGGAATTATTTACTTAATGGAAAATTTACAGGTCCATATTATCAAATATTTAATTCATGATCAATCGGAATTTTGAATTAATAATATATTATTTGTTTTTTAATTTTGATGAGTACATTTAAATCTCTATCAACGTAAGTCGAAGATCCTTTTAATGTTGGAGACATGTAATATTGATGGCCATTCCTGATTACAGGAAGCTAGCAGTTCTCCTCAAGATCAGTCAGAAGAGGGAGATCACTGAATATGCTGTCCTGGTTCTCAGCGATTCGTCGGAGTCCAGGCTGAAGGATAAACCTGAGAATTGGTACAAGATAATAGCACTCACCAAGAGGAATATTTTCGTGCCTGAGGGGGTGCCCTCCCACGAATTTCTCTGCATTCAGGCTGAAAGCATCTTGGAGATAACGAACTGCTGCATCAAAGCTGATCCTGCCAGGGTTTATGATGACTGCGTCAAGAGGCAGATCTCCAGGTTCCAGAATGATCCACCGGGGCAGACGTGTCAGCTGGCCATTCAGCAGTTGAATACACTGTCTCTGATGGCCCTCACGAGGCCTGTTGTCCTCCAGCCTTATCTGGAGGCGTCCGTTTCTCATCCTGAGTTGATCAAGAGGACTCAGTACCTCACGAAACTCCAGCATCAGATCCAGGATGTCAAGGTGACTGAGATGCCGAATCTTGGGGAGCATTTTGAGGAGGTCTTTGCGAAGAATGAGCTCGAGAGGAGGAGGAGGGATCTCCAGTTTCAACTCAGTGATGAGAGCATGGCTCTTTATCCTGAGTATGTTAACAGGGTCGATGTGCTCAAGAAGCTGGGGTACATCGACACTGATGACAGGGTCACGCTGAAGGGGAGAGTGGCGCTTGATATGGGGACTCATGAGCTTCTTATCACTGAACTTATATACAGGAACATCTTGACGAATCTGCAACCTGCGGAGATCGCCGCCCTTATTTCTGCTCTGGTTTTTCAGGGAAAGTCTGACTCCAGGGACAAGCAGATCCCTGATCTTAAGCTGCCGATTCTTAAGGATAATTGCAGGTAAAGATAAATAAATTAGAATTTATTTATGAAGTCTCAAAGGGTATTGAAGTTAATGATATTATCCGATGGTTATGGGGAATATTGTTTAAATTGTTTTTCGGCGGGGAAACGATTGATATACTTGGGACAGATTTCGCTGCTCTAGGATTTTCTAATAATTTTGGCCACTGAATGTAATATTGTCACTGAGATTCTAAGAAATTTTGTCAATGAAAATTCTCAATTTGATAGGAAAAATAGTAGAAATTGCAAATTTCAATTTTCAATTTAAATAAATTCTAATTGCAGAATCATTGAGGAGGTGAGGTCAGACATCGAGAGAACTGAGATGGCTTATGGGGTGGACCCTGTTGAGCCTCTGAGCTTTGGACTTGTTGAGGTGGTTTATGAGTGGGCTAGGGCTGAGTCCTTCGCGAAGATCATGGAGCTGACTGATGTGCAGGAGGGAATTATCGTCAGGTGCATTCAACAGTTGAACGATACTCTACAGGACATTAAGACTGCTGCCCACAGGATCGGGGAGACTGTTCTGAAGGAGAAGATGGAGGAGGCTTCCACTGCTATCAAGAGGGATATCGTTTTCACAGCTTCCTTGTATACTCAAGACTAATTTTTTGGAATTCAATTTTTTTAGAAGACAATGGGGAATGGCGTCATTGGATTTATAATCATGTCCATTGCACCTGAATTGAAAATACTTTCTTGCTTTTCCTTATAAGAGTGCAGACTTCATTTGTACAATTGAACAATTTGCACATATTTGATAATTAGAACCCATTAATCTTTTGATTATGGAAAATCATTGAATTTATTCAGAAAATAGAATCAGAAAATATTTATTTATTTTTTCGAACGCCAATGATCAGTTGTTTTTTTTTTTATTATGGAAATGGGGGTTCAATTTGTAAAATAAGAAAAAAGAAAAAACACGAAATCAGTGGGGGAATTAATCAACTTAAATTTGAACCATCTGTCGATGGAAATGTTTAGAGTCCATCAATTTTTTGTTTTTGATGGAAAATCATTGAATTAATTGAGCCTGAGACGGTTTGAAAAGAAGAAATAAAAGAGTTTCAACTTCAATTAACAAGAATAACTTGAGAGATAAAACTCTCTCGTATTTATAAATTGTTTTTTAAAAGGAAAATTAATATTATTGCTTTCATCATCATGTTGTTGAAATGCACCTGAATTGAAAAAATATCTAGTTTTTTTTATTATGAAATTGGGGTTTTTATTTTTTTTTTAAATACGAAGTCAGTAAAGGACTTAATCAACTTAAATTTGAAGTATCTATCTCTTTTTGATGGAAAATCATTGAATTAATTGAACTTGAGACAGTCTCAACGGAAGAAATAAAAGGGCTTCAATTTCAAAAATTGCTTTGTAAGTTGAAAATTTCTGGTATCTATGAATTATTTTACCCGAGGGGAGAGGAGAATGATGCCATTGCATTCATAATCATGTTATTTAATAAACCTGAATTGAAAATATTTAATTTTTTTCTTACAAAAGTGAGGATTTTATTTGTACAATAGAACCATTCGTACAATAAATAACCATTATCCATTAATCCTCTGATTTTTGTGGAAAATCGTTGAATTCGAACAGAAAATTGAGAACGCTCATGTTCAGAGCTTCTTTTTAAACTCAACATTAAATTTTTCTCTTTATCAATTACTTTTTCAAGCAAAAACGACAACAAGTTCGTCCACTGCATTTATTATCTAATGAAAATGAGTTGTAAAGGAATTGTAACTCATTGTTTCTACGGAAAAGGAAAAAATACGTAACTAAATGAATGAATAAACGTTTTTATAACATATATTCATGCATTAAATCCTCTCATTTTCATGGGAATTTTTAATTTCAGCCTGTCTGTATCCTTTTTTATATTGTATTCTCTGTATATTTATCATCATCTCCCTCCAATGAATCGAATTTGTCAAAGTTATTTTTTTTTCTTACAAGAATGAAGATGATTTTGTTTTTACAATGATAAAAAAAATCATATGCCACCAGTGGACGCCTTAAAAGACTAACTTAAATAATACAAGCCTCTTTTATGATACATTTTTAATTAAAATCTTCATTAAAGAACACGTTGATCGGCGCTGTTGAGGTTACCCTGGCCCTTGTTGAGCTCGGAAATACATGCCCACTGTCCCTCAGAGTTCTCACGCCAGAGTGAAACCTTGTTGTCACCACCGCTGACAGCCAGGATGCGACCAGTGAGGGACCAACTGACGTTCCAGATTACGTCCTCGAAGACGTTTAGGACGTTGGGGGTCCAGCTGGAGTAGTCTGTGGAGGTCCAGACGACGACTCGACGATCCTGCGAGCAGGATGCCAGGGTCGCTCGAGAGGGACCCACTGCTGGGGCCCAGGCAACGTCTCTCACCTGTGGACAGGAATCACAGGATCACACTTCATGGAATTTTTTTTAAGTGATGGGTTCACGAGAATTTGAAGGAATTTCGACATTGAAAATTCACTGTTTTAATTGTTTTTCTCATTAAATGAATTGAATGAATTTTCACAATTCACAATTTTTATTTAAAAAAATTAAAGTTTATTAATTTTTTTTATTTTTATTTGTTTTAATTTTATTTTTTTGTGAATTGTGATTTTTCAGCATTCACAATTTTAATTGTGTTTCTCATTAAATTGTGAATTTTTAATAACGAAATTCATGGAATAATTAAACTGAACTTCACAATTTGATTATTTCATTAACTTGTGAATTTCAATTCAATTACTCTATGAAAATTGATAGAAATCAGGAAAAATTCATTGCATTTTCGGTAAAATTTGAAATTCCATGACTGTTTTCTCTAAACATGAATTTTTGGATGAATTATGAGAATTGGGAATCGAATTTCATTCAAGTCAGAGAGAATTCTCATTAAATTGTTCTGATTCATATTAAAAATTTCAAGCAGTAGTCAACGTGTTGATAATTTTTAAGCATTTTCATCATCACATCAAATAAAATTTGCATTGGATTGTCATGAAAACAATGGAAATGTCTGACAAATATTTGAGTTTTTGAATTTTTCCTGGAGAGATTTTTTATTTGAAATTTTCTATCATAGACTAACCCAGTCGCTGTGTGCCTCCAATTTATTCTCCTCGATCCACCTGTCCCCATCTTCCCTCCAGATCTTGACGAGATTATCGCAGCCACCGGTGGCCAGTCTCTTGACAACTCCCCCCTTCTGCGAGGCAGCATCATTGCTCGGCTCAACGACTGGACACCAGCTGACAGCGTTGCACCCGATCGTGTGGGCATTTGGAATTTTCTGGGCGTCCCAAGTGTCTCCACTGTTCGTCAGGATTGATATGGAGCCATCAGAGCTACCACAGGCCAAGATCAGGCCGAATTCGTGGGGTGCCCAGGCCACGGAGTTCACTGATGAGTCGTGACCTGTGTGTTCGTATATTTTCGTCCACTCGCCGAGTTCCTTCCAGATTATAACTTTTCTGTGGATCAACAGGTGGACATTTTTCAATGCAATGTGGGGATTTTTCGTAAAGTGACAGTTCCACTGAGATTTAATGGAATTTCTTCATTGAAAATTCATAATTTGATGGAAGAATTAATGGAAACAGGGAAGTTCAGGCCAATTATTTCATGAAAATTAATTAGGAATCAGGGAAATTCAGGTGACAATTATTTGGAATTTCTAATTAATTATTTACAGAAAATTTGTATTTCTATTCAATGTTCAGTGAAATTTGCAATTTCATCATTAAATGTGAGATTTCAAGGAAATTATTCGTTGAGAATTCTTAATTTGATGGATGAATTAATGGAAACAAGGAATTTCAGGCTAATTATTTCTTGAAAATATATTTCATATATATATATTTCATAATATATTTCAGGGAAATTTGAAATTACATCATTGAATGTGAAATGTCAAGGAATTTGGCAGTGGAAATTTACAATTTAATAAAAAAACAATGGAAACTGTAAATTTCAATTCAATTATTCTACGAAATTGATTGACATTTTCATATTATTACTCATATTGAAATTCAATCGTCTGAAAATGCAGCGAAAATTTGGGAATTCTTCTGCTGCACATTTGGTATTCATTCAATTGTCCGTAAAATTTTGAACATCACCATTAAATATGGAATTTCAAGGAATTTCTCCCTTGAAAATTCAGAATTAGATAAAAAAAATCAAACGTAAATTTCGGTGCAATTACCCCACGAAAATTCACAAAAATCAAGAAAATTCAGGTGAGACGGTACTAAATATTTCTGTTTTGATTGAGAATGCGACTCATTCAAGTTCCTAAATTATCATAAAATAAGTTAAAATTGAAAGTTTAATAAAAACTTCATTGCTTCATCAAGAAATGTCTCCAATTTCGCTCCCTTGAGTTGAACGACTGAGTGACTTAATTCCCCAACAGGTTTTCCACCCCAAACTGAATGGAATATTGTTAACACGAGAATTGTTTGTGTTAAAGTCATACAAACGCTCCTATGTTATCTATATATAAATATTTTTTCTTCACACATTTGCACTATCAAGATTTCCCCCTGTAAAATGACATCATCTATCAAAAAACAGTGAATAAAATTAATAAAATTAATTCAAGTTTACTAAATTCCAAAAAAAAAATTCCCCTGAGTGCACTCACCTATCATAACTACAGGAAGCGATGATATTCCCAAATTTGGGATGAGCCCAAGCAACCTGCCAGACAGGTCCCACATGTCCCTTGAGATCGGCGACAAGACTCTGCGATCCATTCTTGAGATCGAATATTTTAACCGAATTATCACTGGAGCAAGTGGCCAATCTCAAACCATAATAATCCATCTCAGCATCGTGGATCATGTCCTCGTGGCCCGTGTCCACGGTGTTCAGCACTGAAACCATTTTCCCAGCGGATCTTCACCGACTTTTTGTTGTTCTAACGATTGTTGATGTATATTCAATGTTTTATTCGGCAAACCGTCTGTTTCTCGGAGCTCTAGAGGTTACAGCTGGCCTGTCATACGTGGAAGCCGTGTGGCAGGCATCAATCATCCACTCGCGTGACTGCGCACGCGCAGTGGCAGCCACTCCAGCGACTGACACTTGTCTCTAATTGGAGGAGCCCCGGTGTGAGCGTCCGCCATTGGTCTTCCCGGAGATCGGCTGAATTTCCATTTTGTTGGAAATAAAAATTGTTCGGAAATCAGTGGTCCGTGCTATTTGCCAGCGCAATTTGGCTGTTTGTCTGAAGAGGGGCATTAATATCATCGAGGCAGGAATCTTCAGCGGGGAAATGTCGCATCAGACGGGAATTAAGGGTGATTATCGGGGTTTAGGGGGCTATTCCGGGGATTGAGCTGAGGATTCCGGATTTATGGGTTTAACCTCGAAAATGGAAATTCCAGCGCCACTCCTATGTTATCAGTCATGTATTGATACTGTTGTCTGTCATTTACAGCCAATGATCCCTTGAAGAAACTCTTCGCCAAGTGTCGGGATGGAAAAATACGGGTGCTGAAGGTTTCCATTGAAAACGGTGAGTACAAACGATTTTTGAGGGCTTTAATGAAATCATTGCTAAGTGGGTCTTGCCGAAAAACAGTGGCCTGAGCTCTCGGATATACTTGAATGCCCCTGGAGATTTGGCAAGAACAAAACGAGAGTCAATTGCATAATGGGTTTATTATAGATAGCGGAGTTAATTTTGGCGAGATTTACATTTTTTTACTATTTCGCTAATCTTCGAATATGTAGGAATAACAATGATTCATCTCCGTCTTGATGAATGATAAATTTCCTTGATTTTGGGAGTTGATAATTGAATTTTGAGGAAACGAAACAAAAACTTACAGAATAGGCCGATGATGATTACAATGTGTTTAAAATTATGTGTTCATGCACCGAGTTGTGTGCGTCAATGTATTATTGTATATTATTGTTAATCATGAGAACACAATCGATTGAGTCGTTTGTTTGTCCGGCTTTTGAGCATTGCCAATTGAATCACGAGGCCTTTTCATTTTGGCAGCATTTTTAGATGCGTCGGGACGTTAATTATCCGCGACAATTCAGACATTTGAATTATTTGTTAATGACGACTGACGAAATTTGTTTCACAAGTTCTTTTCATAAAAAATCCACGTGACTGAAAAAATAGACATCACGAAAAATAGAATGTCTTTTCAAGAATCATCCCAATCCTGACTAAATTTAATCACTACTTTCACTACTGTTTATGTCATTTTGTAATTGTTCAATTTATCCAGGATATGCAGTGTTAACTCACTCGAATTGAGATGAGACTCACCAATCAGTCTTGAAGTAGGACAATTAATTTTATTTTAAGAATTTGTATGGTTTGCTGTTGAAAATTTTGGTTTGAAATTTTAGATAGATCTTTGGAATTCAAGTGAACTTTTCAAACTTTGATATGAAAAATAAAAATTTTTGGCTTATAATAAAAAATCTCGAAATTCCAGATCTCTTCCGTGAACTTAATCTAAATTTTTTCCCTTGAAAATCAGATTAAAAAGTTCTAATCTTCAAGAATTTTGCTTGAAGCTAGCATAACATTCGGATTTTTGAATTGATGATTTTTCATGTTCTAAAATTATTCTCCTTGTCTCAAGAATCTTTTGAAATTTATAATTCTATTTTCATGTAATTCACAACGACACTGGTATAAAAAGTATATCACCTGGCGCCTCGACTCAATAAATGTCAAATTAACGCTCAATTAATGCACATCTCGATTCTCCAGAAATGTTCCCATTTAAAAAACGCAAATATTTTTAATTCAAGAAAATAGAATCCCACTCCCGACTGAATTTGACCACCGGTCAATGTCCTATTGACATATAACGTTCCACTGAATTATTTATTCATCCCCTACCCCAACAGCCCCATTCATTCGGTTCAGACGAGTCATTTTTCCGCGTGAATTTCTCTGTTGAACAGAGGAGCTGGTTCCAGCCTCGTCGTCAAAGCCAATTGGCAAATGGCAGGACGATTACGCTCGCCTGGTGAAGCCCCTCATCGAGGAGAACCAGCCGGCGTACATCCTCTACCGTCTGGACACAAAATCCCCGGACTCGGGTTACGACTGGCTGTTCATATCCTGGTCCCCAGACACTGCCCCAATCCGCCAGAAGATGCTGTACGCCTCGACGAAGGCGACCCTCAAGCAAGAGTTCGGCACAGCCTCCATCAAGGACGAGCTGCACGGCACTGTCCCCGACGACATCACCCTCGAGGGCTACAGCAAACACAAGAAGAACGACGCCGCCCCGGCCCCACTCACCTCCGCCGAGGAGGAACTCGTGGAGCTGAAGAAGACAGCTATTCACACTGACTACAACGTGGAAACGAGACATCAGACGCTCAGTGGAGTCGCTTTTCCGGTGACTGACGAGGCGAAACAGGCGATCACTGAGATGGGAAAGGGCCTACATGAATATGTACAATTGAAAATTGATCTCGACGAGGAGAAGATACATCTCGTCATGGCTTGCGATGTTTCACTCGATAAATTGCCTACTAAGGTGCCGGCTGACGCGGCTAGATATCATCTCTATAATTTCAAGCATACACATGAGGGGGACTACATGGAGTGCATAGGTAAGATTTATTGAGTAATAAATTTATTTATTCAGCAAATGTTCTAAATCACTACAAATAAAGCCAATTAAATTGGAGAAATAATCGATTTTTGTAATCACTAAAATGTAAACACATTTTGTTAATTATTTATTAACATTTTTACATTTTAGTGTAGGTTTATGGGTATAACAGGTTTTTTCTCCAATTTAAGTGGTATTATTTATGATTTAGAACATTGGAATAATGAAGAAACCCCTGATGAGGTCCTCCCTGGAAGACGATACGTTGGGCCATTGTAAAACATTCTTTAACTTCAACTTGATATGGTTGATATAGTTATTTTTGTTAATAAATTAGTAATATGCTTTCGAATGGCCATTTTGCACATAATTTCATTCAATCATGTATAATTCATTGTTTATTTCATTTTATTAAATTGAATAAGATTTCAACTACTTTTGCCAAATTTTCAACTCAGTTGAACGTTATCATCATCATTATTCTTATTATCCTTTTCTTCTATACAACCGATTGTCTTTTACGGTTCTATCTCTTCCTTCAGCCCTTCGATAAAATGTTGATAGAAAAATTTTATTTACACATACTTGAATGAATTTGAAACATCACATTTAAAGAAACCATCAGAAAGCTCACTTTCAGGGAAATTCATGAAAAATTCGAAATTTTCAACAATCATAAAAATTAAACCAACCAATATAGCTATCGTAATCATTTTTTAACTTCGACTTAATGGCATTAAAACAAACATTTTAAGCTATGATTGAATTCATTTGAAGTATGATATTCAAAGATATCCCCGGAATTCTGATTTTCAAAAAATACAAAACTTTGCAAATTCCCAAATAAATCAAAATAACGATTACTGCTATCGCCTTCATCTTCGAACTCGGTCAAAAGGACACCCGAACAAATTTTTTAAGCCATCATTCAATCAATTCAGAAAATTTTTTTAGTTATCGTGGGACAACCGATTTTCGAAAAAATTCGAAAATTAAAAAAATTAATTGATGAATTGCAATTTAATTAACGGCGATTGATAGGGCTCAGTAATACCTATATTTGAAACACAACATGAATTTTGTTACAGTATTCATCTACAGCATGCCCGGCTACAGTTGCAGCATCAAAGAGAGAATGCTCTACTCCTCCTGCAAAGCCCCCTTCCTCGATCTCATCCAATCCCTGGGGGTCAACATAACTAAAAAGGTAAGTAGCCCTGCATGCCCGTCAATAACACCCCATGATTACGAAACATTCCCAGCATGAGTATTAACAATTCACTTGTGGTTGTGACTAATCCTTATTCCGTTGACTTGCCCGTGATATTTCGTTCGCTTTGCTCACGAATCCTCGAGCACTTAGACGTCTGCAATGAGAATATTCATTGAATTGTGGTCAAGTCTGTCGTAATAAAAAGGGTTAAACGCTCTTAGTTGGAGGTAAATAGCGGAGACGAGTTAGCTGACATGCTGGAGGATCCCCCTGTTAAAGACTCTACTGGAAACACAACCCCCATGACCCCATCGACACCCTCCGCACCCCCGAACGTTATGTCCGAGAAAAAATCAAAGCAAAAACGCTCCTGCGTTTTGAGTTAACAGGTTGACACTTTTAATGGCCTCATTACATTGGTTATTGCCATGGCTATCGACTAATCTCAGAGATTCGTTGATCAATGTACGATATAAACGTTGAATAATATTTTTTGGAACTAGTGTTTTATCGATATTCAAAAATGGACCAGATGTGGACCCGATCGTTCCAGGTTATTTACACTGAGAGAAAAAACGAACGATAAAAATTGAGGAATTTCACATAAATAATTTCTTGAAGTAAGAAAATTGCGTAAATATTGGGGGTAAAGCTGTGTGATACTGAATGAAAAATTAATTTCAGAAGGAAAATGCTAAAACGATTCAAGTCAACTTCGTCCAGTGGCTGTTTTCGATGAATATCTCGAAATTTAAGAGAAATAGAGGAATTTCTCTGAAAACCTTTTTTGTAGAAAAAAATTAGAGCTACAAAAGAGGTCTTGACGAAAATTTCGCTATCTCTCTTAGATCTGGAGATATTCTTAAAAAACTCAGGACCTACGTCAAGGTAAACTGTTTTACCGCTTTCGCTGATTTGTTTTCTTTCGAAAGAAGATAGGGTGAGCTGGATTCTGCATTTATTCAATACAAAAGCAAACAAAACGATTTCTCGAGTCAAGAAATTCTCACTCGTCGTCAAGAAATGATATATTTGACTAAAAAAATTAGTTTCCTGACTTGAGATCGTTTTTTCTCTCAGTCCATAGTCAATGGACGGAAAGTAATTTATCGATGCTAGTAGGATCGCTAGTTGTACGAGCACAAAAAACAACAACAAGAGTATAAACTAAAACGTGATATGTATACCTGCATAGTAAGAGTAGTAACGGTGTATTTTTCTAAATTAACCGTGAGGAACAATGAAATACGATGCAATGCAAACGATATTTTTGGTATTATCGGGGAAAATCAGCTTTCGGTATAGAACAGTCTGTGGTAAAAACATTATTCCAGTACAGTTAATTAATTTAGGGGATTATTATTATTTTTCAATAGGGTATATTGACGAGTTGTTAGAGGTTTAAAATGAGATTACGTGTTAGGATGGTTTCTGCGTCGATTTTTTCCTCTTTTCAGGGTCAAGCCTTCAGCCTTCAGCATAATTTGTACTTTTTTTTTATCACACGTCATTTAATCCTGAAAAATCGACTCGAAACATTAATCCTGACTAAATAATCCTGTTAAATAAAATTGTAAAAATGCAATTGCAGGTCATAAAATATGATATAAATGCAACAAAAAAAATTATTTGTTGTCTCAGGATTAAATGACGTATTATTTTATTTTATTCAATAATCTGTTATCTCTGAAATTTCCTCGTGTCTAGGTTTTTAGATCTGTGTTTTATTCATTTGTTCAATGTTCTCTGTCGCTCAAATTAACAAAACCCATTGTGATTAATATTAATTATCTGGTTCATTGAGTCGTGAAATGCAGAAGAGAGTCTTTCTGTTAATTTCACCAGAGTCAGTTGAAAAAAGTTGAGTAATTTAACGTTCTAACGAAATTAGGTCTCCTAGTCGTATAAAGGTGATATGTACGTGTAAGCATGTCGGATTAATTCTCTCGGTTGAGGTAATGAGGAAGGCTTGCCTGGTAAAATTCAACTCAAACGCAACTTGAACATTTTTGATTATATTGGAAAATTATATCGTTAATGTGATGATGAAATTGCGGTGGGGTGTCAGTATGTTTCGGTGGCGAGAGGTGCCACGATGTGATTACTAGAGAGTTAGGGCAGTTATTCCAGTAGGATTTAGCTTAATGATGCCATTCGCCTAACTTCTCGACAGGGAGAGAAATTCTTTGGAAAGAATCTAGTGCTGGTGCTCGTCATTTTGACGAATTTGCGACAGTCATGCTATATTTTTTTTGGTCATCATTTGAATACTATCACATTGTTTCCGATATTTAGATGGAATATGAGGATCACATAGAATTGATGCCACAAAGAATGTCACAAAATTGTGAAGCCATCATAAAATATCGAAAAGTGCGACGTTTCAACTACTATTTAGATGGAATGTGACGGTTACATAAGATTTATGTCAGAAAAAAGGTCATAATCGAGGAGTGTGATCAAAAAATTTAATCAAATCAAAGGACTATATACTTTTCATCGTTTTTTTATTGACGTTCATTTAATAATATCGTCGCTAATTGGTTTCGGGGCAAAAATTGTTATGACTGGCCTCAGTCATGTGACGTTATATATATTTTTTTGGTCGTAATTTGAGTAGTTTGACATTGTCACTGCTCTTTGGGTGGAATATGACGGTCTCCGGAATTTTTCCCTAGTTGGAATCTTTGCGTCCCTCTTCCCGTGCTAGTACTAGAATTTCTGAAGAATTCATCTCCGTGTGTTATACGTATTTCAAGGATTATTATTATGTAGGTTATTGATCTGTGACAGCCAATGCGCAAACTGCTATTTTTTATCGAATTTATTTTGTTTTGAAAAGTTTTCTTTTTCTTTTTTACGGTGGCTACTCTTGAGATGTAAGCTGCTACGCTTTTTATTCATTTCGAAACTATGACGAATATTAGGGGATTTATTGCTAAGTAAACTGTTGAGGATTTCGGGGAGGAATTTGAGATTCAAGTTTTTTGGAATTCAAGAGTGAAAAAAAATGAAATTAAATTCATGAAATTTGTTGAGTCAACAAGTTACAACAAAAATTGTATTTGATGAGAAATATTCTATTTGACGGTGATGAATGGCAATAAATTTTAAAAATGTTGATTCTCTATTAGAAGAATTGAGTTAAGAATGATTATTTCGAGTGAGAGATGCTCTTGAATTATGAATATTTGGGTTTTTCAACTGAGAATATTTCTGAAGAATGGAGATGTGGATTGATTGAGCATTAATTTGACATTAGTTGAGTCAAGGTGCCAGGTGATATATTTTTTATACCAGTGTCGGTGTGAATTAAATGAAAATAGAATTATAAATTTCAAAAGAAACTTGAAACAAGTAGACTAATTTTAGAATTAAAAAAATCATCAATTCAAAAATCAGAATTTTAGCTTCAAGCAAAAATTCTTGAAGATTAGAACTTTTTAATCTGATTTTCAAGGGAAAAAATTTAGATCAAGTTCACGGAAGAAGTCTGGAATTTCGAAATTTTTTATTATAAGCCAAAAAATTTTATTTTTCATATCAAAGTTTGAAAAGTTCACTTGAATTCCAAAGATCTATCTAAAATTTTAAACCAAAATTTTCAACAGCATATCATACAAATTCTTAAAATAAAATTAATTGTCCTACTTCAAGACTGATTGGTGAGTCTCATCTCAATTCAATTTGAATGAATTGGTTCCCCACTTTTATTTTATTCGAGTGAATTAACACTGCATATCCTGGATAAATTGAACAATTACAAAATGACATAAACACTAGTGAAAGTAGTGATTAAATTTAGTCAGGATTGGGATGATTCTTGGAAAGGCATTCTATTTTTCGTGATGTCTATTTTTTCAGTCACGTGGATTTTTTATGAAAAGAACTTGTGAAACAAATTTCGTCAGTCGTCATTAACAAATAATTCAAATGTCTGAATTGTCGCGGATAATTAACGTCCCGACGCATCTAAAAATGCTGCCAAAATGAAAAGGCCTCGTGATTCAATTGGCAATGCTCAAAAGCCGGACAAACAAACGACTCAATCGATTGTGTTCTCATGATTAACAATAATATACAATAATACATTGACGCACACAACTCGGTGCATGAACACATAATTTTAAACACATTGTAATCATCATCGGCCTATTCTGTAAGTTTTTGTTTCGTTTCATCAAAATTCAATTATCAACTTCCAAAATCAAGGAAATTTATCATTTATCAAGATGGAGATGAATCATTGTTATTCGTATATGTTCGATAATTTGCGAAATGATAAAAAAAATTGTAAATCTTGCCAATATTAACTACGCTATGTGTATAATAAAACGATTATGCAATTCACTCCCGTTTTGTTATTTCCAAATCTCCAGGAGCATTTAAGTATATCCAAGAGCTCACGCCATTCTTCTTTATTAAAAATTTATCTTTTTTTACCCAATTTCACAAATTTTCTTGGATATTCTTAACATATAATATTTCACAATAGGTGATTTAGAACAGTTGTATGTACCATGCACCCACAGAAATGGTTTATCTCAATCGAATAATCTTTATTCGAATCAAATAAATGGGGTTTCCTTCAAATAAAGATTTTAGCCAGTAGAATTTATTAGCATGTCGAAATCTTTTTATTGCGATCAAATGAATTCTCTGGGTGTGGGCTCGTGGCAATGGGACTATTCCGATGTGCAATAAAAAAATAAAACAGAGCAACAGCTTACAGAATAGGCCTGATACCACAAGTTCCCATGAATAGTAATCCTCAATATCTCCACCCCCAAACAGAAGAATAATTAATTTGAATTACTGTTGAATAGCTAGAGATAGATGATGGAAAGGAACTAACTGAGGATTATTTGCAAGAGGAATTGCATCCAAAAGTCAATTTACACCGGCCAAAGTTTGCTAAGCCCAAGGGCCCACCAGGAAGAGGCGCTAAACGCATTACCAAGGTTCAAGACGTAGACAAACAAGAAGCATAATATCTCCTCATTCAGTAATAAATTAATTTTAAGGCCAAACAGGGTGATAGGGACTGTTACGTTACTGAGATTACGCTAATGTACTTTCTGTTTATTTCACAATTGTAATATTTGAATTATTTATTTTCATTCATCACATAGTGTTGGAATATCGAGTGTGGAGAATCAGGCCTATTCTATAAGTCACGCAGGATTGGGGGAGCTATTCATAATGCGATTGTTGCTCAGAATATTTTAAGAAAACTTTAAAATAGGTTTGTGGTTTAATAATTATGGCCTATTGCAATCAGGTTCTGAGCACTATTGGAGTAATGATCAGGGCAGATCAACTTTTATTTTGTATTTAAGTTTATTGTTTTAGAGGTTTGGTTGTCTATATCATGCGTCAGTTCAGAGACAAATAAAACACGATGAGTGACTTTTGATTCTGTTTAATCTAATATAGTAACATGAACTAGTATGTACAAAATGTTTCTTCGTATCGGCGATTTTTTTTATTTCTGTTCTCCTTCGAGGGGCTCTGTCGCAATCTCTGGGACTCCGTCTAGTGGAGGTCGGCGATTCAATTTTTCCTCCACTTTCGCAGCTAGGACCTGGATTTTTTCGTGCTCGTCCAGCATTTGAAGTTTCATAGCAGTTCGGACAGCCCTAGGATGAACGTTGAAATTAAGAAGGAATTCTTGGATTAAGGATATCCAAGTATTAAGTGTATCCAAGGCCATACCACAGATTCAACGATTTCGATCATCAAATTTGTCTATGCAATTTTTAGATCAAATGGGGCTATGAGTTATTTTTGATAATTTTGTGCATTAGTTCCTTCCATCATGTGTAATTCAGTGTTTATTTCATGTTATTAAATTGAATGAGATTTCTCGAAAGCAACAAAATAGCTAAAGTACTTGGATATTCTTGTCTCTCTCATTTCATGCAGTTGACATTTTAGGGATTTGGGGACTCACTCGTTCCTGTTGGCGTGCATTTCATATTGAGTTTTTTCTATGTCGTCTATTGTGTATCCTGTCAAGTATAGAAGAATCATGGAGACAGAGCCACCGAGGAGACCCAGGAAACCCCCCGCGAGGGATCCAGCGAACATTCCTTTAGGTCCTAAATTCAGTTTGAATAGTCCACCTGTTATCGCACCTGCTCCCACGTATTCGATCACTCCAGGCTCACCCCGAAATACTCTTATGAATGTGTTTAGGAAACTGAAGGGGAGTCAATCATCAATTAGTTAATATTCATCAGTCAATTATTCCTCAATTTTATTTAACGTTCCACTAGAAATTTCTTTTAGTTCATCTCAACAGAATAATAAATGCAGAGAAAAATACTGAGCAATTAATTCGCGACGATAAGTTTGAAAGAAAATCGTGAAATTATGGAAATACATTTGTATAACCTGTATAACAATTATTAATTGATTATTATTAATTAGTCAATTATTCCATAATTTTATTTTTCTTTGCATTAGAAAGGTAAATGTTTTAAATTTAAGATTGGAAAAAAAAATCGTGGAATTATAAAAATGGATTCGTGTAATCTGTAGCTGTAGCTAAAGAACCCGTAATGAAACCGAGGATAATGCCCACGAGGGGTTTGAACCCACAACCTTCAGATTACCAACTCGCAACTCTGACCAATGTAGAAATTGATGGAATAGGGGAGGGATAATTAGCCGAATTGCCTAAGGCCTCCCTGAATAGCAGTGCAAATTCTCACATGAAGACGGTTGTGAATCCTCCAATCCTGAACCCCCACTTGAAGCCACCTTTACATATCGCCATTGTCACTCTGTCCTGCAGCATTTTTTTAGCCTCCATGTGGTGATGGAATTGCGTCGCCTGGTTGTTCTCCATGAAGGCGAACCAGGCCTCCCTTCCATGGAGAATAGCCCCATACACAGCCCCCAGTAAGACGCTAGCTCCACTCATGTGGACGGCAGCCGCCATTTCCTGAGAGAGTTCTCCATATTCGCTATGAAATATTAGGGTCGACTTTTAGACTTCATGAAGAGATTATGCCAGTTGCGTTGAATGCATTCATCAAGGTTTCAATCCCAAAATAACGGAAATGGGAGACTTAGGTCAAACTGACCTTCTCTAATCTTCGATAACTCAAAATCTGCTGAGTCAAATTTACCATTTTTCTTTTCAAATTCAAGGTTTTTTTGGTAGCTTTAGCATGAAATCAGAGTTACCGAAATCGTATCGTTCGTTCAGAAGATATTGGATATTTTAAAAGTGCATTAATTTCGAACTATGGAAGCAGGCTTTCGACATAATGAAAATAAAATTAATAGGGGATTAATAAATGTAGATATGAACAAAAGAGATTATCGTCCTACACATATTAATTAATACAGACAAATATTAAATGAATTAGCATATTTGTTTATTTTAAATATGAATTCGCAGATGTAATTCCCAAAATTAATTCTCGTAAAGAGATGAGAAATAGGTTTGAAATGGACTTCCTTCAATCCTCAATAACTCAAAATCTGCTGAGTCAAATTTACCATTTTTCTTTTCAAATTCAAGGTTTTTTTGGTAGCTTTAGCATGAAATCAGAGTTACCGAAATCGTATCGTTCGTTCAGAAGATATTGGATATTTTAAAAGTGCATTAATTTCGAACTATGGAAGCAGGCTTTCGACATAATGAAAATAAAATTAATAGGGGATTAATAAATGTAGATATTAACAACAGAGATTATCGCCCTACACATAATAATTAATACAGACAAATATTAAATGAATTAGCATATTTGTTTATTTTAAATATGAATTCTCAGATTTAATTCCCAAAATTAATTCTCGTAAAGAGATGAGAAATCGGTTTGAAATGGACTTCCTTCAATCCTCAATAACTCAAAATCTGCTGAGTCGAATTTCCATTTTTTTTTGTTAAATTCAAGATTTTTTCGTTGACTTGAAGATGAAGTAGGCTTCATCTAAATCGTATCATTCGTTCACGAGATATTGAAGACTGAAAGAAGGTCATTCTTCCCCAAATGAAGAAAGTAATTCCAAAACATAAAAGCAATCTTTCGACATTAATTAGGGAGGTTGGGGTAAAACGGACACTTGACTTTATTTAAATGTTAATGAGGGGTTGAAATGTTGATAAAATTTAATAATTTTTTCAATACAAAGAACAATTCTTTCCCTGAGCCTAAACTGAGCTCAATTGATAGATTTGTTTCTGAGTTATGAATAATTTTTAAAAAGTCCAGTGTCCAGTTTACCCCACACGTCCCTACTTCATTCAAAAAGGGTGAATGAATAGTTTCTGAGGACCCGTGTCTACTCACTCAGGTCTGAACAACCGTCGTACCGCCTCTATACCCCTGTACTGCGGGTTTAGCTCCTCATACCCTGGGGTTTTCACCTCATCCGCGCTTTGCGGGAAAAACCCGAACAGGGCTAGTCTACTCTTCGGAATTCTACGGAGAACAGCGAACATTTTCGCTCATCTGAGGGCTCTTGTTGCGACAATCACAATATTTTCAGACGGCTTTTCACTCGGAAGAGCGAGTTTACGGTAAAATGAGGTTATGATCGCTCCCCACAGTCTGACTGACTTGGTCTGACTGTTCGTGACACTCATCGCTTGTGAGGATTAGGTTATGTTGACAGTGAAATACAAATGGAGAAATTTTCATTGTGCAGTGGAGTCAAAGTATTCAACGCTCGCCGGTATCAGACGTTGCATTGATGACATTATTCCCTGTTCAACGGTAATATTATCAGATTTTTGTTTATTTAAGGGGAGACTAGACAAGAATTTAGAAATCGCTGGTGTGTTATTTATCTTGCTGGAGTACTGCTTCAGTTTCAATGTAAAAAAATGAGAAACAATTGGGTTTCTATTTTTTTGTTGACCAGAAAGAGGCCTGAGGGGAATAAAAAGTGTCAAAAGTGTGTCATATTATTTTTACATAATTTTTCTGTAAATAGGGGAAGCTGGGGTAAAACGGACATTTTAGACTTTTAAAAGTGTTAATGAGAGGTTGAAATGTTGATGAAATTTAATAATTTTTTTTTGAAATACAAAGAACAATTCTTTCCCTTGTGACGAGCCTAAACTGAGCTCAATTGATAAATTTGTTTCTGATTTATGAACAATAAAAAAAAAAGTCTAAAGTGTCCATTTTACCCCACCCGCCCCTATGTACAAAATTATAACTCAGTGAGCTTTTCCGAAAATTTAATTTTTTAAGTTTTTGGATTTTTTTTTTAATTGGGTGACGATTTTGGTAAATTAGTGATCTTCAACTACAGCATAAATCATTAAAGTAGTTTTTTCAGATTTTTCGAATAATTTATTCAGAATGTAATGGAAAAAATTATGAGAAAAACTTGAAAAAAATCATATCAATGATTCGCTTTGTTCTTTAACTTGAATTATTTTTCAAATTTTTCACCTGTAGCAATTTCGAGAGAAAAATCCCAAAAACCAAAAAAAATAAGATTTTTAAAAAGCCTCATTTAGTTTTTTTTATTGGTTTAGAGGGATGTAATCCAAGTAGTTAGTTATTTTTTCTTATTCGTTACATTAAAACTGCAGTAGCAAACAATAATTATTAAAGTAGGATTTATTTAGATTTTTCTAATCATTTATTCTGAATATAATGAAAAAAAAAATAGCAAACTCATCAGCACGATAAATAGAGGTCCCTGCGATTTTTAATTATCAGTTTTATTTTAGTATTTACGCATGGTGTTGTTTATTGCAGAACGTCAAGATCCACTCTGACTGATTAATGAAAAATAATTGATCCTAAGTAATTAGCAAGAAAAAAATTGATACAAAGTAATTAGTAAGAATGTCGTCGATGGTAGAGTCCAATCATGAAGACAAATGCGACGAGAGTGGGAGGAATAAATTGAAAATTTGCTGTCAATTTTGCCCCTCAGTCATATTGAGCCCAGCAGCGGGAACTTTTCTCGTTCATGAGGTAAATAAACATAACACGAACACAGTTATTTATATTCAGTAAATTCCTCTCAGAAAGCAATAAAAATAACTACATACATACATATATTCAGTAAATTATTAATTTCATGTGATTAAAAACACGAATAAAATTCAAGTTTGAGTTTGAATCGAATGAACCCATTCATTTGATTCAAGTTCATTTTATTCAAATAAACGGTTCCTCTGGAAATTTCAGTTCGATCTCCCACATATGCGCAGCAAGGGCGACGAGGGGGAGGAGAAAGTCGAGAAATTGAAGGATTACTGGCTGATCGAGGACATGTACATGTTTGAGAACGTCAGTGTCACAAAGACAGTGGGAAATGTGAAGTATCTAGCTTGTGCTGACTGTGAGATAGGCCCCATTGGGTATGTGGACCAGTCTACGAAAATGTTTTACGTTGCATTGTCCAGAGTCATTTATAAGGATAAGTCGTAGTGGTAGGGAGGCATTCCTTTAATGAAATTTCTCATTTTTTGTAATTTGAGATGAATAAAAAATTTTCACTTTCTCAAGGAAACTCGAATGGATGGGGTTACATTACCTGCCTTTTTTTTCTAAATTACCTGCCCTTTAAAAAAAATCCAAATAAATTGGGACATATGATTGTCGTATTGCTTTTTGCAATGAGAATTAATTATAAACAATTAATTGAAAAAAGAAATATCGAATCTGACCGGAAAAAGGGCATTAATTAAATTGTTCATTAACGCACTGATAGCACCAATTTCTCCATTACCACCGTCCAATCCAATTCAACCTCCGCAATCCCCTCCGAGATGGCGCTTCCAGGCTTAAAAACTCCCCTCAAAACTCTTCCCTCCACAAATCCGATTAAAAAACATCCCTTCACATTAAATGACATTAAAATGTCATGCAAACGTCAGGGAGATCATTAAGCATGCATTAAATGATCTCTTACGAAAATTCCTGGGCCTAGTAGTTGCCCGTAGATTCCATGATTCCCCGATGCCCCTCCCCCCGCCCGTCCTGGAATTCACTTTGATGCGAGACGCGTCAGGACGATCAGAAGAAGAAGACGAATGTGGTACGGGTTGTCGTCTTGTCGGGATTTTCAGCCTCTAAAACAAATCAGCGGGGGAGAGTCTCAAACGCGCGATAAACTGTTTCACGAGGCGGCTTTTCGTCCTTTGTACCGAGGCCAAACCCCGCAAGTCGAGCTGGTGATACATTCTCGACAATTTAGCGTTCAATTTTTTTCCTATTATCAGGAGTCGAAAGGTGCTGCGAAGATTTTTTAATTCCTGATCTGCGCATCTCATGGAACGAGTTGAAGGTGATCCGGAGAGGATAAATAATTTTAAGAAGCATTCAAAAATACGAGGTGATTGACGGGTGTGGCCGCCATCTTGCGTGGATACCCCCTCCACTTCCGTAAGGGGATTCGAAGATGGCGGCGCAGCTCCACCTCGTGTTTTTAAACATTTCCTGAAATTATTCGTCTTCTTCAAATCTTCTTTAAATCGAATTATTCCGTTTCTGTGAAGAGAACAATTTTTTTAAGCCATCTGTCAGATTTTTCCATCTCCTTGTGGGTGAGAATTCGAGGCACAAAGTTTTCCTCGCATGTCACCATTTTATTTTTTACGCCGGAGGTCTCTCAAGGAAGAAAATCTTTTTTATAATTTAATTTTGACAAGTTATTCAAATTTTCAATAAAAACGTGAATATTCAGTTTTAAATTACGTGAAATTTTCGATTAATTAAAAATTTTAGAATACATTTACCTGAATTTGTTCGATTTTAGTCAATTCTCATGGAACAAATGAACTAAAATTTGCAGTTTCAGATAATTGTTTTCAATTTTTTAAAATAAATCCTCAATTTTGTTGACTTTATTCCAAAGTGAGAAAGTAGAAAAAGTCATCAAATTAAAAATCCCCCGAAGGAGACAAATTAACGATCATTTTAGATATGCACAGGGTGATTGTAAAAAATAGATGAGCAACGCGGGAGAAGACATGGAGACTCTCACATTATACTTCAGAAGCTCCCAAGGTCTAAAACAGATCGATTAACAGTCATCAATTTGCATTTAAGCGTAACTAACTTAATGCCCGCACACAAATGCATTTATGCTAAGTTCCCCAGTGGGTCTTAACAAATAATCACTCCAAATTCATATTAGCTCTTGCGATTTCCGCCGAGAAATGACGCATCATTTGAATAAAATAAAGCTCTTTATTTAAAATTATTCTGTGCATCCCAGCAATATTTTCTCATCACCTGGAATATTCATTTGAATGAAAATATTTGAATTACAGAAAATGAATACGTCATGTACTCAGAAAAAACAATTTATTCAACTGCAATAAAAGATTATGACACGTTAATAAATTCGGAATATCTCCGTATCTAAGGGAGATAACGAAATTTTCGTAATGACCTTTTTTGCAGATCAAATCGAGGGTCAGAAAAAAGGCCGTAACAAAAATTTTGCCATCTCCCTTAGATTTTGAGATATTTATAATAATGATGATGATAGCATTCAACTAAGTTGAAAATCTGACAAAATTAGTTGAAAAGAAATCTCATTTAATTTAATAAAATGAAATCAACAATGAATTATACATGACGGAAGGAAATGATGTGCAGAATAACCATTGGGAAGCATATCGGTAATTTATTAGCAAAAATAACTATACTATAGGCAATAAAAGAGCAATTTCCCTTCAATCAAAATTAAAAAGAATAGTTAATACGAATCAACAAATGAATTGCACATAAACTAACGTCTCTTAACTAATATCCACCAAAGTTAAGATTGAAGATTCCCCAGTTCTCGTCGGAATCCCCGGCAATTCCCCCCATAACGGTGATAGCCCGATCTAAAATTAAGACACAAGGATAGTGTTGAGGTGTCGATAATGAATCTCCAGTGAGTTAATTAGCCTCGGTGGTTGAGTTGAAGCCGATGCTGGCACATCGTGGCATACCGATACCTCTACAGAGCTTGGTGGCTACTGTTGGATACTTCTCGCCGAGGAGTCAAGCCTAACTGAAACGTCACGCCACTTGTTACTCGTTAGTGTGCACGATGCCATCTTCGCGAATGCGGACTCACTCACCCAAGGGCCAGGAGCACCGCGCCAGGGTTCAACGGGAGCCCCAGCATCGATGCCAACTCGTCCATGTAATTAACCATATCCCCACGGCGCATCGCTCCCTCATCGAGACGTCATAACGCGGGAATTGAGAGGTTTTCCAGCGAGAAATGCCGTATTTCTGTTTCAGGCGTAGAATAACGCTCATTTAATGCACTGATCCACGAAGATCTCCTGAGACCACGCGATTATTTGCACAAAACTTCTGCGTATTCAAAAATTCGTGATATTGGGATTATTATAAAAATTCATTCCCACATCGCATTATTTTTTAAAGTTCTCGGATTTATCTGTCGATCCATTCCACAGATTTGTTTTTAATTCATTCATTCCCTCTTGTATTATTTGTTTAGATTTAAAAAACTCCTTATTTAATACGAATAAAAATGAATACGAAAATGGAATTTAAGTGTGAATAATACCTTTATTGTGCGCTATTTTAATGAACTCATTTAGTTTACATACAAAGTTCAGTTGATTTGAATTCAATGAACTTAGTTGAAATGAAATAAACGCATTTATTCAAATAAATCGTAATAGAGATTTTGTTCAACTTTAAATTTGACTTTTATTCGCGTTTTTATTCACATCAAATAAATTATATCTGAATATTTTTTAGATATAGACAAGTGTCAGGATCCAAAGAACTAATTTATAAACATTTAATACACTGTTGGAAATTTTCTGAAATTTAGGTAACGTGCGTTTGAATTTTCAATATTCTGAACTTGAATTCAATTTCAGCAGGGAGAGCCAAATTTGTAATATTTAATTACCGTTAAATATTGTAGCCATTAATTAGTTAACACCACTCTTAATTTTTTTGAATACTTGAGTATCATCAATCTGAATATTCAAATTTTTAACTATTTTATCAATCAATAATTGCGGTAGGCAGATTGATGATTATTTGTGTAATCGAAAATCCCCCTTTAAGAAATTTGAATTATTCACTTAGTGGTAAATTTACAGTTTCATATTAAAAAATTTTAAATACATCATTATTCGAAAAAAATCAGATTATTAATATTATATTATTTCAAAAATTAGATCAACATATTTTAAACCTTCATTAATGTAAGGGTTAGATTCTTGTAATGTGGCAGAAATTTAAAATTGAACTAATTTATAAACATTTAATACACTGTTGGAAATTTTCTGAAATTTAGGTAACGTGCGTTTGAATTTTCAATATTCTGAACTTGAATTCAATTTCAGCAGGGAGAGCCAAATTTGTAATATTTAATTACCGTTAAATATTGTAGCCATTAATTAGTTAACACCACTCTTAATTTTTTTGAATACTTGAGTATCATCAATCTGAATATTCAAATTTTTAACTATTTTATCAATCAATAATTGCGGTAGGCAGATTGATGATTATTTGTGTAATCGAAAATCCCCCTTTAAGAAGTTTGAATTATTCACTTAGAGGTAAATTTACAGTTTCGTATTAAAAAATTTTAAATACATCATTATTCGAAAAAAATCAGATTATTAATATTATATTATTTCAAAAATTAGATCAACATATTTTAAACCTTCATTAATGTAAGGGTTAGATTCTTGTAATGTGGCAGAAATTTAAAATTGAACTAATTTATAAACATTTAATACACTGTTGGAAATTTTCTGAAATTTAGGTAACGTGCGTTTGAATTTTTAATATTCTGAACTTGAATTCAATTTCAGCAGGGAGAGCCAAATTTGTAATATTTAATTACCATTAAATATTGTAGCCATTAATTAGTTAACACCACTCTTAATTTTTTTGAATACTTGAGTATCATCAATCTGAATATTCAAATTTTTAATTATTTTATCAATCAATAATTGAGGTAGACAGATTGATGATTATTTGTGTAATCGAAAATCCCCCTTTAAGAAGTTTGAATGATTCACTTAGAGGTAAATTTACAGTTTCGTATTAAAAAATTTTAAATACATCATTATTCGAAAAAAATCAGATTATTAATATTATATTATTTTAAAAATTAGATCAACATATTTTAAACCTTCATTAATGTAAGGGTTAGATTCTTGTAATATGGAAGAAACTGAAAATTGATGGGGATCCCTGAATTTCAGACTAAATTGCTCGTGGAATTCCTGACTCATTTTGGAAATCCAATAAAATTAAGTAATTCATTACGAATGATCATTGAATATTCAGAACATTGACTGATTTATCAATAATAAGATCAATGAAAGTTCCACATAAATTATTCGTCGTTAAAAATTTCAACATTCTTTACTCGAAATTCCAAGAGTAATTTTCTAACAGTGTAATCCTTCAGTTGAAGTGAATGAATTCATTAAAACTGAAATATTTTCATTGACGACAAGTGTAGTTTCCC